CCTAACCCACTGGCACCAGACAAGGAGAGATTCAGACTATTTAAACACAAGGGAAGGGAACCCCAGGGGAACACAATTTGTTATCAGGGAATACAAGCAGACATGTGATACACAGGGTAGTGCAAGAGACCTGAAACAAGGGGATGTACCTTTCAAAATAAAACAGGAAGTGACAAGACAACCATGGAGACAGGACAAAAAACACCAAAAAATTCCCCCGGACGTGACGAATCTAGAGGAAAAACAAAGAGTTGTGTGTTCCTCACCTGGACGAACTTCTCCCTGAGCGAGGCCTTGTCCCCGTGGTAGATGTAGACGGCCCCCCGGTGGTCGTTCTCCAGGGGGGCGCCGATGGCCACGTCGTTGAAGCCGTCCAGGTTGAGGTCGGAGATGGCGGCGATGGCGGTGCCGAAGCGGGCGCCGCAGGGCTCGTTCCTGCAGCCGGACGACTTCCCCGAGCAGCAGGTCTGGTTCACGGGCTTTAGGGTGAACTGGTGCTGGAACCGGCCCTCCTGGAGACGAGGACCAAAAAAAACGGGATTACAGCTCCAGACTTAGACTTAGAGACTTAGACTTAGACGGTACTTTGTTGATCCATTGGGAAGACTCCCTCAGGAAATTAAGATTACCAGCAGCTTACAGGTAAAAAAGTACTAAGTTAAATTACATTAAATTAACCCTGTAATGCCAAATGTATCATATTTGATACATTCGGTTTCTGAAATGTTTTGCGTCTGACACCTTTTGCTTAATTTAATGGTAAAAACTTTGCTCAAAATCCTAATTTACACAATTAGATATACCTGATAACGGGGGGCAGAAGACTAGACACAAAATCATCTTGACTTATCGCATAGTAATAGATTATTATTTTATCTTATTTTTATTTATTTTATTTATTTCCTTTTTTTTCTCTTTTTCTTTTTTCTCCTTTTTTTTCCTTTTTTCCCTTTTTTCCTTCTTTTTTTTTTTTTTTTTAAAATAAATTATTAATATTAAAAATGTATTTTTATTTTTGTTTTTACATATTTTGTTAAAAGGCCTAATAAAGACTTCAAACCAAAAAATAATACATTTCTTTTTTGTTTTATTCTTGGATCAGGCTTTAAAGGGTTAAATTAAGCAACAAAAAAAATACAGATAAAGTACAGTGTATATAATAGGAGTTGTGTGTATGTAATATAGGAGTTTGGCGGATAGATTGACCAGTGATATGGTTTGCACTATGTGGTTTGTCCTGATAAATATGAAGCCAAAAGAAAAGAGGTGAGGTGTGTGTGTGTGTGTGTGTGTGTGTGTGTGTGTGTG